TGCGGGATGCGTGAGCGTGGTCCGTAGGTTTTCGGGATGCGCATGTGAGGAGGAGCTTCATTCAATTCGGTGGCATAGTTTTGAGGGGACAGCGTTTTGTGTCACACCCTCTGTACTTAGCAGTGAACTTTTAATATTTTTTCCCTTTTAAGGTGCCCTTTTTTCCTCATACGTAGTGCTGCAACATGTTTGCTTTGTATGCTTTCCCCATCGCTACATATTTTATAGCGTGCTGTTTGTATTGTTGAAGATGATTAATCTGTTTTTTAAATCTTTATCTTTTAGATTACTGTCTTCTGTGGGATACTTGGGATTACATTATGTTAGTCTTAATATTTCTGGCATTTTTTCCACTATAAAGTGGCTGCTTGCTTTTAGCTGTGTTTTCAGTTACAAGATTTAAAAAAATTTGCGTGTATAAAAAAAACCCCAAAATATTGTTTATTTGTCTCCATGGCTACTTCCGTATGGAGCCTGTGTATTAGTGAAAACTTGTATATAAACCTAGCAGTTTAATAAAATTATCTGCTGCTTGAAATCCTGACCTCATAGTATTAGTGACTGATTTATGAAGTGCAGTACTGTCAAATTCAGAAGAGAGTGCATCTTAGTCTTTAATAATTATGCTGGCTTCACAATATTTTTAGTAGCAGCCTCCTTATTTTTCAGTGAAGTAAGGAACCGAACACACGAAACATTGTTCTGCTTTAAATTGAAGTTTCTTTCTTGTCTCTTTAAATCAACTGCCTTGGTAGCCACAGCAGTCACATCTGAGAAGAGTTCTGCAAGAGGCGGTATGCTGATTTAAAATACACTGTTGCCAAATGAGGGATTTCTTGCCCCTGTTGCAGTTAGGCTGCTCCTGGCTGTCCACTGCCACCTCTTACCTTTTGACAGCTACAGTGTTGCCTGGATTACTCTGTGAGCTGATAGTTTTCTGCCAAATTACTGAATTCAGACTTGGTGGGGAGAGAGTTACTGTGAAGTTCCTGAGTTTAAATTGTCTCATGAAAAGATCTGATGAGCATCAGGGACGATTAAAAGATAGCTGGGACTGCATAGCCGGGAGCAAAGGGGAGTGGGAGGGAAGTGGGATGTGTTCTTTCCTCAGTAGCAAGCTATTTTGCTGGCCTACAGAAGTAAACTGAAATCAATGGCCGTTGATATACTGGGCTGTGAACTGTAGTTTCTCAGAATTAGCCACGCCACCTCTTCCCGCTCCCTCTTACAGGTTGTGGTGACCTGAATTATCAGAGCTCAGGAGCCAAAGCCCAGTGAGTATCGTTGTCTGAAGCCATGATTAAAAGCCAGGATGTTTCATGTGCCACTTGGTGGTATCGGCATCGCTGGAAAAATGACTTTCTGCTGTATCATATTTATGTATTAAAAAGAAGATAATACTTCCTATACCCTTTTTTTTTTCCCATTATATGTTTTGGTTGCATCTAGTTAATTTCTTACTGTTTGAGATATTTCAACTTTTTGCTGTTGATTCCTGTTCAATTCTTGATTCTCTTTTCACTTTTGTTTTTTTAAATTATGTTCCTCTCTAAATCTGTGTAAGCCTAGTTTTATTGGGCCACTCTTTCTCCATTGTTCTGGAAGTCATTTTTTCTGACCTGATGACTATATACCTTTTTTTGTTTGGCTTGCCTGTTTTTGCTACTGCTTTGTTTCTGAGGTTCCTTACCACTGAGAGATGTGGCAGATAACTAGGAAACACAAATAATATTTTTTTATTTCGGTGCAGTATAGTGACTTCAGGTAAATGATAACTTCATATAAATAATCCCCAAATGCAGTGGCAATGCAGGCTTTATTTTCTCTATGTTCACACATATAGCTGTGTAGCTAGCAGCCATCACTGAGGTGAGACAGCTGCTCAGCCAAAACCATGTACTTGTGACCAGAAGAAAAGATAGTGTCACACTGAGAGGAAATAACAAGAGAAACTTAGGTTGGCAAATTGTAGTTGATAGATCTGGAATTTGGTGAGGATGCTGGCACTTATTTTCTGCCTTTATGAAGATTTTACTGTATCTTTAATGATCAAATTCAGATGCTACCTTGAAAACTGTGGACAGAATATTATCATATGAACCACAAAGACGGATTCTTGCAACACTTACGACTTTCTGGTATTGTCTGGTTTTTTTTGTTTGTTTGGTTGGTTTTCTTTTCATCTCAAAGACAACTCCTGTTCAAGCACTGTTGAGATGTCCTTATCCAAACCATGTTGGACATAATGTTCGTTCAGGCCCCAGAAAACACAGATGATTAAAATTACTGGATGTTTACCCATTGTTGTAACACAGGCTCATAAGTTAGGAGGCTGGTGATATGTTGCGTTCTCCATATGCTGCTTTAATAATCCAGATGGGTAAGTAGTGTGCTTTTCCAAGTCATGCCTTCCAACCTAAAGTAGCATCTTGCAGTTATCAGGTGTGTCTCATAGTCTTCGTGCCTAATGCTCGGCTCTTCTCCTTGTGGATGAAATTCCTGGGAAATAACCAAGTTTTGAGCTAAGCAGTAGACAAACTACTTTGTCCAGACACAACTTTATGTTGCGTATGTGTGGATAAGAATGCTTTGGGGTGCTACTTTCTAGTGGGTCACTTAGAGGAGGTAACATCTATGTATGGTGGATTCTTTCAGGAACTCCATTCTAGAGCATCCTAAAAAAAAACCCTTGGCTTTCTGGTCATTTTGAGGGCCCTCTCTTTCACACCTCCCAGCTCTACCAGTTAGGGAGGGGAAGAAGTTGGTATCAGAGTTGTGCTTTGGAGGAAGGGAGGATTAAACTTATTTTCCTCTTCTTCCATCTCCCTGGTGGAAAAACCATGCCCTAGCTGTTATTTGTGATACCTCCTTTTCAGTCCTCATAGCTGGCTTACAAATCTCAGTCTATCACATGAACTGACCCACTTGAAGCCATCACACAGAAAAAAAACGGTGTGAGCCATTTCCCTTTGAACGTGATGGGAGGGAGAGAACGAGGGCACAGTCTTCTTAGCCCTATGAATTACTTAACCAAATCTTCAAGCAGCTGAGAACCACGGAACAGGTACTTAAGTGCTTCGGAGAGTTGCCTGGCATACTTCTAGTATTTGTGTGAATTAAAATGTGGGATTTTTTTTTAATTAAGTTGGATCTGCTGATAATAGCAAACTTCAAAAGCCATTCTTTGTGTTGATATCATCTTAGTGTTGGTCATTCACGTCTTGGACGATGGTGTTTCCCCAGCGCCTGATTGATTTAATTCATGGTAAAAAATCTCCTGCGTGGTTAGAACGTTAACAGCGACGCTTGTGTTTTCTCTGGGTACAGGGAAATGAACAACAGACTAGCAATAGAAAGCCAGAGTGCTTATTCATGCAGGCCATTGCCTTTGTGCAGCTGTGATCTGCATCTGAAGTTCAGAAGACGACAGGTGACTTTTATCTCTCGGTTAATGAAAATACCTAATTGCACCAAATATGACCTTTGGGGAGGCAGTCATACCATTTATTTTCAGATACCTCATTTAGGAGCCCAGCTTCCTTGCATAGTCCAAAGGAAAGGTAGGTGGCTAGTTTAGATGTTTTACATTGTCCTCTGTTGACTATGTAAGGAATGTATGCACTTGAGTTGGATGGGAGAGAGCAGTGCCTCATTGCTATCTTCTGTGGAATTTCTGTCTGGCTCACACATGCTTGATGCTTAGAAGCAGGGAGATTCATTACCCTTGTGACCAT